AAAATGCTGCCTTAACTCAAAAACCTAACATTTCCACCTGGGCGTCGAAATTCAAGGATAACACATGCATCCATAATTTTTTTCCACAATCACAATCGCCTTCACCAATTTTCCACCTTTGGGCTCTATTGGTTTCGTCCCTACCGCAGGTTTTACCAACTTCTCACATTATTTGTTATATGATACTTACAAAGTAATGCATAAGAAGAAGGAAATACCTTAGCAACCGAATTCATCAATGCGGTATCGTGGTCGGTAACAATCGCTTTAAGCATATCGACTTGATCTTTCAAAAGTGACCGACACACCTCTAATGCCCAAGTAAAGTTGTCCTTTTTTCACACTCAAGAAATGTAAAACCAACTGAATATGTCTTTTCAATTGAGGTAACACCAACCATCTCAAATAATGGAAGTTTATACTTGTTGGTCTTATAGGTTGAATCAAGTATGAGCATACTCAGGAACGTGTTGAATAACTTTATCGAATCAGAATGAGTCCAAAATTAGCAGATCCAAGCAAGAAACCCAGAGATTCTTCAAGATCCAAGAGATTTCTTGTTGTGGAAGTGAAGATCAAGCAAAATCAAGCAAAAACGATCCAAATAAGCACTTCCAAATTAGCTTCCAAATTCAGATCCCAATCCAAACGAAAATTGAATGGCGAATTCAATATAATGGAGATGAATGATGGAGGTTTAGCTCTAGAATTCAATGATTCCAATTAAGAATCAAAGAACTCAAGTGAGAGCTCTAATGGAGGTTTTGGGAGTGAAAAAGAGTGGAGAGAAAATTGAGAGAATGAGAGCGAAATCTGAAAATGAAATGTAATTGTGAGGATTATCTTTGTGAGGTTTGGAGCAAATTCACTTAAATAAGCTCTAGGTTTGGGATCAAATAATGGTTTGGAATGTGGATTAGCATTTGGAATGGAAATTAGGAGTGAAATTAGGAATGGAGTGTTTGAAATATGGAGGGAAATGATGAAAATTGAGCAATTCTAGATCCTTCCATGATGATCAAGTGAAATCAATGGTTGAAAATGGTTGGAAATTGCACATGCTGAAAATTCAAATTTCTTTTTAAATTCTGCTCGAAGTAACCGGTTACTCAATATAGGGTAACCGATTACTTTGTTAAAAAAAATGCCCAGATTTGGCGCCAAATGGAGGAAATCATGTGCAATTGCCTGTTGCCACTCGTTCTGAACCATGTTAAGCCTCTAAAACCCATTCTTGAACATGGCAAATGTAAGAACGCCTGAGATACCCTGTGTGCCATACCTTGAGCCGAAAATAACCTGCTGAATAAATAAAATCTACCACTCGATCGATGGACAAAATAAATGTCGGAGCCTCTGATGCTCACTGTTTAAACTCTTGCAACAAAAGGGAACCCTGAGCCAAAGAAAGCATCTTGATCCCATGCCTCAAGAACAAATGGTATGATATGCAGAAATGAGAAATGCAAAGAAACAAAAGCCAGGTACAAGAAAATGGTTGGTCAAATTTTGGGGTACAACACCAAGCATGAAGAGTAATTTGCTCAGTATAGGGAAATTGGTTGAAAGCAACTACAAGGTGTCAATCGAAGACAAGATGATGAGAGTTCTCGATTTAGGTGGTAGGTTGATCTTGAAGGCTCCAATGTCTCAGAATAGGATCTTTAAGATTGAACTTAATGTGATTGAGCATAAGTGCCTTGCAACTGCTGCCAGGAGAGATGAATGGATATGGCATTATCGACTTGGTCATCTAAATTTTAAAGACATCAGAGATTTGAAGAGAAGAAATATGGTTTCAGGATTACCAGAAATCAACATTCCAAGTGAAGTGTGTGAAGAATGTGTTCAGGAGAAACAACACAAGAATAGCTTCAGCAAGGATGCATGAAGCAAGTCGAAGGCAATTCTTGAAGTCATACACTCTGATGTATGTGGTCCTATCCAGGTGGATTTGATTGGAGGTAACAGATACTTTGTCACGTTGATAGACGATTTCAGTCAAAAACTGTGGACTTACCTGATCAAGAAGAAAATGAAGTGATCGAGCTATTTGCCAAATTCAAATCTATGGTCGGAAGACAAAGTGGTCGAAAGCTAAAGATTCTGAGGGCTGATGGTGGTGAAGAGTATGTGTCGAAAGATTTCGATACATTATGTGAAAAAGAAGGGATTGTGTATGAGGTGGTGCCACCCTACACTCTACAGCAGAATGGAACTGCAGAAAGGAAGAATATAAACATCATGAATATGGTGAGACGTATGTTGAAAGGCAAGCATCTACCCAAAGAATTATGGGGAGAAGTTGTGTCGACAACAACATACATCTTGAAAGATCTTCGAAGAAGAAGCTAGAAGGAATCACGCCAAAAAAATGTTGGTCTAGTGTCAAGCCTAGCCTAAGTCATTTGGAGGTGTTTGGATCTATAGCACATAGACATATGCCAGATTAGTTGAGAAGAAAGCTTGAGGACAAGTCGAGTCAAATGATTCTGATAGGATATCATTCGAATGGAGGATACAAGTTGTTTGACCCAGCGAACAAGCAAGTTGTGATCAAAAGGGACGTGATCATAGATGAGCTTAAGGAATATGATTGGAGTGAGAATGTTAAGAAGGATTCAGTGAGAATCTTATGTGAAGAACCAGCTAGTGAAGTCGAAAGAGAAGTTCGACAAGAAGAAGTCAGAGGTGAAGCAGGCCCAAGCAGACCTCAACGAATAAGACACATATCTGCAAGGTTGCAAGAATGTGTGGTTACATCAGATGATGTGGTCGATGAAGAAGGTGAGCTGATACATTATACTTTCTATGCAGATGTCAAACCAGTAAATGCAGCTGAGGCATTGAAAGATTCGAAGTGGGTGAAAGCAATGAATGAGGAGTTAGAGTCCATTGAAGTCAACATCACTTGGTCACTTGTCGATTTTACTCAAGGCAAGAAGGCAATTGATGTGAAATGGATTCATAAGGTGAAGGTGAATCCTAAAGGAGAAGTAAATCGACACTAGGCGACACTTGTGGTGAAAGGATTTCTGCAGAAAGAAGGAATCGACCTCGACGAAGTTTTTGCACCTGTTGCTAGGATCGAAACAATCAGGTTGGTTGTTGGTCTAGCAAACATGAACAATCGGCACACATGTCAGATGGATGTGAAATGTGCATTTCAGAATAGCCCCTTAGACGAAGATTTTTATGTTGCACAACCAGCTGAGTTTATGAAACAAGGAGAAGAAAGAAAGGTGTACAGGCTGCATAAATCCTTGTATGGACTTAAGCAAGCTCTAAGAGTTTGGAATAAGAAGATCAAAGGCTTTCTAAGGGAGAAGAAATTTGTAAAGTGCACAACTGAGCATGGAGTATATGTAAGGAGAAGCAATAGTGAATTGCTTATACTATGTCTCTATGTCGATGACCTGTTGATAACAAGAAGTTGCAAGAAGGAGATCGAAGAATTCAAACATGACCTAAGTGAGGAGTTTGAAGTATCAGACTTGGGAAATCTCTCATATTTCCTTGGCATCAAATTCTACAAGACTGGTAAAGGTTTGATGATGCACCAAAGAAGATATGCAGGCGAAATACTCAAGAGATTTGAGATGCAAAATTGCAACCCAACTTCGACTCCAGCTGAGACCAGATTGAAACTGTCGAAAGATTCAGATGAAGATGATGTCAACCCAACCCGATATAGAAGACTTATTGGATCACTTCGATACCTTGTCTAACAAGGCCTGAGTTAGAATACAACATGAGTATGGTAAGTAGATTCATGTAGAAGGTAAATGTATTACACCTAGTAGCGACGAAGAGGATACTAAGGTATCTGAAAGGAACTCTCGACTACGACATTTTCTTTCCTGCATCTGATGAAGGAAAAGAATGCAAGATAGTGAGATACACTGATTCAAGTTGGTGTAGTGATGTTGAGGATAGAAAATCCACAACTAGGTATGTATTTATGTTAGGTGGTGCACAAGTTGCTTAGAGTTCGAGAAAAGAGCCAGTAATGGCATTGTCGTCCTGCGAAGTAGAATACATAGCTGCTTCTCTTTGTGCATGTCAAGCAACATGGATGGTGAACCTGGTTGAAGAGATTACAGGAAAGAGTCATGGAGCAATTACCATGAAGATCGACAACATGTCAGCTATCAACCTGGCAAAGAATCCAACAGCACATGGTCAAAGTAAGCACATCAAAATGAGGTTTCATTATCTTCGTGAGCAGGTAGTAGAAGGGAAGATGAAGTTGGAACACTGTAAAATTGATAATCATATTACAGATATCATGACGAAAGGAGTGCAAGTCGAAGTGTTCAAGAAGCTAAGGTCTATGATGAATATAGATAGTTTAGACACAATGAATTAGGTGGTATGTTAAGTCTGTAATTCCTTGTGTCGAAGCAGTGTAGCTCGACAGAAACAAGGTCTAGTAATGTGTGTGTGTGTGTCGAGTTGGTTAGTGTGTCGAAGTATCGAAGCAGGTTGTTTCACACAGGATTTCGACTTAGGCTTATTTTAGTAATGTTAACTATTTTGGACTTTTATAATTTTACGTTTTGCCTTGGGGTGCAAGCTAACCTAGATCTATAAATAGGGAGTAACTCTTATTTTGTAAACGACTGATAATTCATAACACTGTATTAACAGTGTACAGTTGCAAGTGAATAAGAAAGTTTCTACAGTTATGGGCAAAGGGAAACTCTGCAGATACTCATTCCTCTTCTTCTCCAACGTTATTCTTTTTCTTTCTCAATCTTTTCTTTTCATTGTCGATCATTACGTGATTGTTAACAATCTTGAAGTCAAGATTGAATGAAATTTTCTATAAATTGTGGTTGAATTTCAACATTGTGGATTCGAATTTTAGAGTTTAGCCATGTCTAACCATCGTTACAATCGTAGAACCGTTTATCCAAATGGATCGACACACTTCTGTGAGGAACCTGGACTGGAAACTTGTCACCATAGCACACTAAATAACTCATTTTCATAGGATTTTATCCTAAAATGTAGTTAACCTGAAACACAAGGAATCAAATTTTAGACTATTTTCAATTCATGTGTTACCATACAAAATGATCAGAACTCATAAGGCTAGGAATTTGCCTGAGAGCTAGCGAAATCACGAACCGTTGCAACTGAGAATTCATAGGTTTCGCAGCTTGCACCAGATATTTTGAGATGATCAATGTAACCACTGTATAATTTACTGAGAAAAGATGCTGTTGCAGCATATTGGAGTAATGGCCCATTATCAGGTTTTGGAAGAATCAATCCACCTACAAACATGTTTGACAGGAATCATATACTATTTATAAGTCATAATGTACGTTTCATTTTATCAAAGAATTATTTAACTAATTACAAGGTGTCCTGCTCATAAATTTTTTGAAAAGGTAAGAACACATGAGACAGTGAGTAGAATTTGATGAAAATTTCAAAACATCTTCATATGGAAAGCCAGGATCACGAAATTATCGAATACCAGCAGCAAGCAAAACCTGCAAATATCACATTAAAAAACATGATAGTTTATAGGCAACTCGTCCTAATTATGCTTTGTTAAGATGATCACGTCATATTATGTTTGTAGGCGTTAAACAATATCATAATTTTCATCGGTAGTTTCAAATAAATTTTTACATAAAAAATAAACATTAGAGAATAAAAATATATCTTCAATTACAACATATTATGATGAAAATCAAAATGAAAGGTCATTGTATTAACTTGATTGATCATACATATTGTATATACTATTGTGATGTCTTGTTTGTAGATGATTATAGTATTGGTACCTAATTTTGCATATTGGGGGTATGATTTGTTATTTCATTATGTTTTTACATAAGAACAAGCATGCATGAACTTTTATATGACTGGTATTGACAATAAAGTTCTTGTTTACACACGTTGGAGTAAATATATGTTCGTGGTGGTGAATAAGAATAAAGGCCGCATGGCTCTGGGTAATTGTAATGCTCATAGTCCGCAACAAAAATGGAGGGGAATTTTTTATTCCATCTTATAGGAAGGAAAAATATCTTATAGAAAACTCAAAATGCCTATTAGATTTTGAAGATATATCTTTGGACATACCATATTTTAAGTCAAAACGTTAATTCATCTGAAGATACATCTCAGAAATATTTCAAAACACATCATATGCATGTCTCTCTGAAAAGTTCATTTTAAACATTTATTGATCCGGAGATGCATCTCTGTTTAGGATTTACAGAGATGCATCTCTGTAAACTATCAAAACAATGCACGTTGAGTTAGTTTTATGGTTATTCAAATGAAAATGACAATTTATAAATATTAAGACCCCTGTTATGTAATGGGCATTAAACCATACAATCGAAATGCAAAAAAAGACATATAAATCCAGATGGTCAAAATAAGTCATTAGTCGATACACAATGAAGTTGAAATACATAATAAATGTGAAATAAGTTAAAATAAAATACAATCGATAATAAATCCAAAATACAAATACTATCAACTACTACGTATGTTGAACTATAGCTCCTCGAGCTCTTCGGCCTCCTTTGCCCCCGTCTTCCGACGTTGTCTCTGGTACATCAGTGTCTCTCATGCCTCCATCATAATGACACTTCCCTTACCTCAGAACCATCACGCAAGATACATCTGTCAATGTCTGCCTACATAATTTCCACAATGCGACAACATCACGAGCATGATTTAACCGTGTATGCTCCTCCTCTAGTATCTCTTGATAAGCTGCCCTTGGTGGATCTCTTAGAGCAGCCTGCATCATATATGGATGTGACACCCTAAAGAACCATCTGATGTATTCATCGACATAGCTCCATTCGCTCTTAGCTATGGTACTATGTGCCTTCTCCAGTGCCATATGATTAAGATAATCATCAAAAATAACATTCATATCTATACATGTGTCATAATAGGAGAAGTAAAGACATCATAATGTTTGGGAATAATCTGGGTGTAGTCGCACTGCCACATGACGTGCTCAAGCAGATGAGGAAATGTTAGATGTAAAGCGCAAGCCAACCATCTTGAGTATAACACTATGTCGCAAAATGGCCGCGTATCACGCTGATCAGCATAGTTGTTAAAGTGCATATCCTCGGCTACCAAGCGGTCAAGATACACTTGAAACAACTTTATAGCTTGGTCCCCTCTGAGCGTGACAAATGCAGAAGTACGTGACATATCCTCGGTATATGTTGATGTACACTACCATCCAAAGATACGTGAGAAGTGTTGGAGGATCTAAGTCTGAAAAGTGTTGGAACACACGGATCATCAGTAAGGGTGTCAATTTTAATGAAAAGACACATAAACACTAAAAAACTAATAAATATTACCGTCAAACGTGTGATATTGCTTGTCACCTGCTTCGTCTTTCACCTACAGTCATCAGATAACTTAGAATACAAGTAGAACAAACAAGCGACCCCCTAGTTGTACTCATGGATCCGCTCAAAGTCCTCAAAGTATCGTACGTAGATGGCATCCATATAAGTGGCACTCTTGCCCACAAAAATGGTAGTGCCAACCAAACATAACAGGTATGCTCGCATAGCATACGCTCTATGCATCCCCACCTGGCTATCATCACCTCTAACCTACTCTGCTTTAGTGAGCTCATATGTATATACCTCTTTCAGGAATTCACACCTAGCTAGAGCCCTTATGATTTTTTCCAACTCCCTCATGGCATCCTCTAGGTCAACTCCAGATAGTCTACCATTAACTCGAGTACATCCTCTTTGCTAATCCTCTCATGATTTAAGAGTTTCCCCTAATCGGAAGATGCAGCAGACACGAGACATAGTCGAGTCTAATAGACATTTCACCAAATGGTAGATAAAATGATGAGGTCTCAGTGTGCCATCTCTCCACAAATGCATTAAGCATCTCGTGCTTCACTATAACATAATCGTTCTTGCATAAGTACTTCATCATAGATTGAGACAAAGTAACCTAAAACCACTCATCATTAAGTTGATACAAGTCCGTAATCTTCTGCCTATGACTAATGAGTTTCAGTGGATCACGGTCCTGCGAAAAAATAAATCAATGTCAGAAACTTGTAATAGAATAAAAAATGTAATTTAAAAAGAATGTATCCAACTAATATTACCTCTTCGTCTCAAATATGTATGATAGTATGGTCCAAATAAAGAGGGAGCAATGACAACTCTAAAGGGCCTCCTCTAAATACCTGAGGCGGCACTGGCTCATCAACCTCAGCAGCCTGAGATGGCACTGGCTCATCAGCATGAGGTCTCTCCAGTGCCTGGGGTGACATTGGTGCCTCGGGTACCTCTAGTCTCTAATGACTCAGGTACTTCTAGCGCCTGAATAGGTGACTCTCGTCGCCTACGAGAAGATGGATTCAGTGATGTGTCACTGGGTGACGCCTGTCTCATAAGGGAAGAAGGTGGAGATATATGATCCCCAGAAGTCGATGCTCCACATGAACTAAGCTATAAGGAACAGAAGCCTCTGAAACCTGACTTTTTTCTCTCCGGAAAGATGCATGTTATACAATCCTCCCGTGCCTCAATTTTCCGTCTCTATCAGTCATAATGCATGTAAGTAAACCATACAAGTATCACACAATAAGTACAAGCAACCCTACAAACAAGAAAATAAAATAAAAAACAGACAAATAATTTAAGGAGATTCATCTCCGATTTTTGAGAATCCAAACGTTGAAAAATTTGGGAGATGCATCTCTGAAATTTCCTGCAGCTTTCAGCTACACCAAACCCCCTAAAAATAATACATTGGTCGTTATTTTTAACCATTAAACACATTTCTCATTATGTATAAACTATCAATCATGCAAAAACTATTTATTTCATAACCAAATCGTCAATTTCTACAAATTTATATAAAAATTCAAAAAAATTTACAAAAATCAAAAACTTACAAATTGTTAGTTTACTTCAGTGTTGAATGATCTCTTTGATGTACTTGTGTTGATGGAATAACCTTTGAACTTGGTTGATTGATTTTGAGAGAATGTGAGTTCAGAGAGTTTGAGAAAGATTTAAAGTTGTTTTTTTTAGAAGTGAGGAATGAGAAGAGGTTCTAGCGCGTTTTAGAACAAATATCATCCGGATATGCATCTCCGTAATATTTATGAAGATGCATCTCCGTAGTTTTTTTTACATTAAGTCAGAATTCTATTGACTCAGGGTGCATCTGAAAATGCATCTCCAGAATCTGATGACATTTTTGTATTTTCAAGTGGTGTCCTAGTAATACATAAGATACATTAAGAAATTTTCAAATGAAGTCAATGATAATGTTTAACAATTAATTTTCACTAGATATTAAACAAGAGTAATGTTTACCACTCTAGAAAGATTGTGACATTGCATTAGGAATGTGTTGCATTATGATATTGTGGTGTGATGAGAACATGTTAGATGTTTATGCTTTGACTTTGTATTTATTGGACATATATTTGTATGTAGATTATGACTCTCTACTCTTGTTGTGGATTGGACTAAATGTTCGAGATTTTAGTGGATTCAGTAACACGGAGATTGCAACATTGCAACATTTTAGTGTCTTGGTGTTTGATGTAACTACAATGTCTCCAGCAACCAGCAATCTCTGTTAAGAGTAAAGATTAGCTTAAGATTTTTCTTGTAGTTTCTTTTCTTTTTGTTTTGGGGTTTATGTTTGGGAATTTTTCTTCCCACCTTTAGTGTGTGGCTTACACGGTTGAAAATTCGAAATTGTTCTCCGATTTTTCGAAGATATATCTCCGGACGCATCTTAAATCACCTCATCTTTCTTAACTCAAGCAGCCATTCCATTTTTTGCCAAAAATTTGTCTAAAGACGCATCTTAGAAAATCCCATTGAGTGCATTTTAAGATATTTAAACAACATTATTTTGGAAATGCATCTCCGAAAAAACCTCTGAATTTGAAAATAAGGGTTAATCTAGAGATTGCATCTGTAGACAAACCCTAAAACACACACGAAGGTGCATCTCCAAATTAAATTTTGGTAAAATGAAAGACCCTTACCCATTTGCGCTTATTTTGTAAAAAATGATGTTTCTGGAGATGCATCTCTGAAAATTAAAGACATTTTTTACTTTTCGTTAGAGGTTAAGGAAAATCTATAGAGATGAGAAAATAAATTCCTTTGTTTCTTTTGAAGAGAAAATGGCTCAATTAAAGTTGTTGTGCTTGGAGTTTTATTTCTTTTTGTTTTAGAGATTAAATTAAATTTTGGTAAAATGAAAGACCCTTACCCATTTGCGTTTATTTTGTAAAAAAAATGATGTTTCTGGAGATTCATCTCTGAAAATTAAAGACATTTTTTACTTTTCGTTAGAGGTTAAGGAAAATCTATAGAGATGAGAAAATAAATTCCTTTGTTTCTTTTGAAGAGAAAATAGCTCAATTAAAGTTGTTGTGCTTGGAGTTTTATTTCTTTTTGTTTTAGAGATTAAGTTTCTTTCAACGGAGTTGTCGAAAGCTAAAACTTCAGTAAGGTGTAAAAACTTCGGAGAATACCACTCCATAAGGTGCTCCTTTACCACAACAAAAATTTCAAAATGTGCTTAAATTCCATATATGCATATATGAATGCATCTTTTATACACACATTTTAGTATTTTGTAAGTGAAACACCCATATTTTGTTCAAAAAATATATTCAAAAATGTATCTTCGAAATCTGAAAATGCACTTCTGTAAAATGTTGTCATCCTTACAAATCAGCAACCCATTAAAAATCAGCAGTAAAAATAGACTAGAAACTAATGGCTCTTAAGAAATGTTGTTCATCGAATGAAAGCTACTAATGGCTCTTTTTCAACCTGCACCAGAAATAGATTTCTTTACATTTTTAGGATGTCAGGTACCACATAAACTTTGTTCATCAAATGTTGCTACCCCTATTTTCAAGGCTTGTTTGTCTCGAGAATTGACCTTGCTCAATTGAAATAGATTTCTTTATATTTTTAGGACTTTTCAGGTACCATATAAACTTTATTAACAGCTATACTCTTACTCTTGCTTCAGTACATAGTTTTGAATTATTAATGTTTTACAACTAGAATTTGATATTTGAATTCTTAAATGTTTAACACTTGACAAAAGGTGTGCGGCGCAACCTATGGAATGAGATGAGTATTCCGCCAAAACTTCATGCACCTTTCCTTTTCCCTAAACTTCTTCGATTACTCTCAAAGTTCTCCCCCTTTTTGGGTCCAAACTTTGGGCCAAAATCTTAATAATCTGAGCATTGTTATTTGAACACAAAATCTAATATACTGAGACAACATATAAATTACATTCATAATAAGTGTCTTAGATTTGAGATGAGAGAAAAAACAATATAAAACTGAATACTATATCAAAACATGTATATCAACTTTTATATTGACATCTTTTCGAAATATTCAATCATTCATCAGAAATAAGTCATGTTTTAACAATTTAAATATCAATCATATTTTATTTTCAATGGCTTCCCATTTATTTGCAAAGAAATATTCAATCATTCATCAGAAATAAGTCATGTTTTACCAATTTAAATACCAATCATATTTTATTTTCAATGGCTTCCCATTTATTTGCAGCCACTCCAATGCAAGCTATTGCATATGAAAATCAAGCAATTAATCAATCATCCTAATAAAATTACACAATAGACATCAACGTTGTTGGGAGAGTATCGCTAAATGGCTGGTTGTTGCTGAGTGATGCAATGTATATTTCCACCTGACAATACAATCTCCCTGGAACCTTCAATTCCCACAACCTAGGAACCAACAAACATTGTAAAATGTCATTCAGTATCCAAAACAACTCAAATGATAACTAAATGTTACAGTTCCTAAACAACAATACTAGACTAAAGGTACACTTTTTATTATCAAACAGAAGAAAGGTACACTCTAGTACTATAATGTAACTACTAGGATGAGTATACATTTGCCGGTTTTGTGGAAAACTGTTCAATGTCTAATGCAGTTATTCATGATGATTTGGTTGCATGAGAAACATGGTTTGTTTTATAAGGAAACATTGCAAAAATGTATCATGATAATTGATAGTATTAGCTCCAAGCTATTTTAGAACAAACAACAATGGTTTGAGCCAACAGATCTTCTGCCACAATCAGCATCCCTCAGAAATATAACTCATTCAGAATTATTCCTTTGTCTACACTAACTGCAGTAGTTAGTGCAACAACACATGTCTTTGAAATATTAGCATATCGCATAACATTTCTTCAACTGAAAAAAAGAGTATTTCGACAATCAATGATTTATTAAAATAAATTACTTACTTCGTGATGAGGGAACGTCTTAGACAGAACTCTGATAGCTTCATCATCCCACTTTTTATCTCCAAATTTTGGAACAATGATAGCACCATTTGCAATGTAAAAGTTTACATATGAAGCAGCAAGCCTAGTACCGGGAAGTCTTGGCTTGGCGCAGCCATCCTGAAAAATATAGAATTACACCATAACTTCCAATGAAAGTTTATTTTGCGTAGTTGCATGAATAAGTTAGTACTCATAAGAAGTGTAATGAACAGTAATATTCATTCTTAACCATGAAAGGTATCAATCTTAATACAAGTTCAGTATTTTATTTTCATATAATAAGTTGTAGGATAGCCATTATTAGAATATCATAGTTTAAAATCTACTTGATTACAACTACTGAACTATTGGCAAAATATTTGAATTGTTCGCGTTTTTTCGTTTTGAAAACACAGATTAAAGCTTGAAATCTTCATCCAAAATCCATGTCTTAATAGGATGCTGACTGCTAACTAACTGTATTCCGAAGATTGCAGTGCCCGGCATAAATTATTCAAAGTAAGTAGGCTCAAGATAAATAGAATCTAAATTCTAATTCCTGATTCCTTTTACAGAGTTAAAATTTAAATTAGTTGAAAGGAAAACAATGAGAGGATGCACTGATTGAGTATTACATGCAATAGATCACTTTCTAGCAGTGTTGTCAATCGCAGATGCAGAAAAAAGAGGTTTGTTTTGCTAAAGTAGTGCTATAGCACCATTATTTGACAACAGTTTGTTTTAAATAGCGTATCACAAAACAATAGTAGCAGTTTGTTCAAATTCCGCTACACTCTAGCAACCCGCTATTTGACAACATTGCTTTCAAGTAATTAGCTCTTCCCGATAATACATCCTATTGAAAACAAAATTGGCTTGACTGCAAAGTATCAAATTATGTTAGAGATGAAATCATAGGGTTACACTAGGCCTTTGAGCTTTCCATATAACCAGACACTAGAGAGTCCATTAAAGAAACACCACACCAATCCTTTAGAAAAGCAACTATGCAAAACGCAATGCAAGCCAACCAAAACAGAGAAAAATTCTTAGGTCAGCCTATGTAGTTTTCCAAATGGTACCCAATCCAATGATATATGTTTCACATCATCCTCACAACCAACAATTGAACTTTGTATTAACCAATATATAAGGCATGGGATTTGAAAAATATAAAATCATCTGACCACAAAGAAAAGAACAGCCTCAAATATGACTTATTGAACTTCTACAACTGTTGCTCATACAACAATAAAGGTATATACACTCCAATGGAATTGTTATTGTATTTTGAAAATTACTTACTTTTTAATTATATTTTCAATCACTTAAGAAATAAATATAACTGGAAAAAGAAAGAAACAAATTTGGATGTTTACCTGGAAAACCCCTGCAGCCTCTTTCTCTGTCATGTATAGTGGACCAGGGATATGGAGTTTAATGATTTCAAATTTTCTATCATTAGCATCTGTTACACTTGAAAGGAAAGAATATGCTTCTTCAGATATTTCATACTGAGGATCAGTTTTATCATCAGTCCAAGACAGCAGAACCACACCGGGCTTCGCAAAACAGCAAATGTTATCAACGTGACCGTTTGTATCATCATCTCCTGTATAAAAACAGCATACTTCTTAATAACATAGCGAATATATTGAAAGTAAATACCACTTTGAACCTAAAACATGTATCGCAAATATTCTAGCTCATCTCTATGGAAATGGAAGTGTCTAATATTCTAGCTTGGGTTTTAATGTGTGGAAATTCACACAGCTTTTCAACAATGGGTTACCATGTTTCTAACACAACGCAGATAGCTCTTTGATCTTAAAACCTGCTACTTCAGTTGGGGACGTGTATGAATAAAGTAGTATTGCAATGAAGTATGCATAAGAATCCTTTTGTCAAAAAATAAGGATCCTACAAAAAAGTTGTAAGAACTTCATAACAAAATAAAACCACCACCAGCCTTCTGTTTCCTTTTGAAGAATTTGCTAATAAAAACGATTGAGGCCAAATTCCCTGTTATTAGCTCCCAGATTCTTCTCAATTTTCATACTAAGAAAAATGGAGAGAAATATGTCAATTTCATCTTTCTTTAATTCTAAAATGCAGAAAATATTTACTTGATAATCAATATGAACCAATTGAATAAGATTTAAAACCTTATATGTCCACGGTGATAGCATCCTAAAAAATACAGAAGTTAATCTCTTGACAGAAAGTGGATTCAGTAAAAGAGAACCACCAGATTTCACTAATCATACTTTGTGATAAGTTACCATGAAATGGTTATATAACTTTTTATATAGCTATCTTGCATTATTCCATTATTCGGTTGGTTTTGTGTTGAATTATGGTCTTTTCTCATATATAAAATTCTTCTTATCCAAAACAAATCTATAAAATTATGATAAATGTCCACATAGATTGTTTATACAAATACCATATTAAATATCCCGTGCAAAATACTATCATTTCATAGGAAGATTCTCAATCTAAAAGATCAGTATCAACTATCAAGTTTATTTACCATATAATCCACGAGGCAACCATATAACCTTCCTGATTCCAAGATATGCCTTAAGTTCATCCTCTATTTGGCTCTTACTCATATGTGGATTCCTGTTCTTGTTCAATAGACACTCTTCTGTGGTAAGACATGTTCCTAAGAGAAGAAACAATTATTGAAGTAAACAACAAAACATAAAAGTTAGAAAAGCAATTCAGTACAGAGATCCAAATTTAGAGCAGTACATATGATCTGATCTCAGGACAGATTGAAATGAAGGTAACAGGCCTTAGCAAAAAAAGAAATAAAGGTAACAGATTATACGAGATTCATGAACATAACATATACAAAATAATTCTGCTGTCCAAGTACCTAACTACCCCTGATCCTTGTTAAAGAATAAATCGGCGCAAAAACTAATATTCGGTAGACTGTGATGTTTAATCATTAGAGCTGCATAACTAGCATACCAACAAATCACTGCATTAACTCTTACCTTCTCCATCCACATGGATGCTTCCGCCTTCAAGCACCATAGAATGCGAAAATCTAGGAATCCTCTCGACATCCAAAATCTAGCAAACATATAGTGATAGTATCAAAATCAGCAAGTGATTACATGTTTATCACAGCTAGCAAACAAAAATATTTAACCACTCTTACCTTCTTAGCAACATAGCTGTCAAGACTCCAATCATTGTAACATCCATCTTCCACACCTAAACATTTTATAAAGCTCAATTAGTTTAAGAACCAACAACAAATACACTGCTTAATTCAATATCCTCAAATTACAAATCCTAAAAGATCTAATTATCAAAACAATTTGTACTCACCTCCCCAACTATTAAAATTCCAATCAATCCCCGCAATCCTATGTTCCGCATCACCAGATTCCGATGTTCCTCTTTTCACAACAAACTGTTACACAAAACAAAGACTCATTCATCAACAAAAACCACAATCCTTAACACATATTTAGAATACCAAACACATAACCAAAAATTGATCCTCGAAACTCACGGTAGGTCCAATATCACGAAACCAAGAATCATTTGAGCAAATCTCAATGACTCTGATATGCTCCGGTAGCTGACTCCGCGCATTCTCCCACTAAAAAAACCAAACCAAACCAAACCAAACCAAGTCACATAATCATAAACAAATTTTCAGAACGCATAAATCAATAGCACAGTAAAATCAAAATCGTTAACCTACTTGAGCGGAACAAGCGCAAACAGTTACTCTCTCGAATCTGGAGATCGCAGACGCGACCCTAACAAACACACGTTGACCATGAAAGGCGTTGTCACGCCAATTATCAGCGCGTTCCTATCACGCAACAACGTATAGATTAATTAACATACAGAAAGAAAAAAAACAAGAGAAGAATGCATGAGGGTGTAATATAGTATAATACTTACGGGCCAACCCATCCAACACTGCGTGTGAGGTTCCCATTCAGCAGGCATGTGAAATCCGAGAGAAGAAGGTGTATCTTGGAGATGCATCATGCAATATTATCGGTTCTGTAGTTTTGCTCTGTTCTTCAGAATCGGTATTTAAAGGGGAAAATATACGAAAATTATGATGATAAATAATCAAACATGTGATATGCATGACTTACATTAGAGAAGAACGTGGATGCGTGGTGACTTCAAACTCTTCACCAAAGACAATAGAGTGTTTTAACTCATCAGGGTGCCGCTGAATTACTCCCTCCGTTTTAAATTAAGAGTTAGAGTATGGCAATGGATAAATTAAGATGTTTTAACTGGGTCTAAATGATTTTTAGAATTTAAAAAATTTATAATTGATTTGAGTTGTTTTTATTTTAATAATAGTTGTTTATAAAAAACTAAAATTTGATCATATATTTTATATTATATGTGGGTTCAAAGTGTTTTTACTTTAATATTATATGTTTCAAAATAAATATAATTGCCGGAAATTAAAAATTAATGAATTAAATTTTATGTATAGTTATTCCAATACAAATTTCTTATAATTATCGTTAACTATAAAAAAAATGTAATTATTAAAAACCTGCCTTAAACGCTCTTAGAAGAAATATTTTATTTTAAAATAAGTGTTATTATACTTTTCAATTTAGTAATAATTATAACTTTTTTAATTTGTCATATAATTATTATTTTATATATTATTTTTAATACATTAATAAAATTAATTTAATAAAAGTTTAATATTTTATAATAGTATTATTGTATTTTTTATTCTATGTGCAAAAATTTTAAACAACAGTTATTTTGAAATGAAAAGGATTCTATTTAAATTTATTTTAGACTTTATATCAATTTTATTTTTATTTTTAAAAGTAAAATATAATTTATTTATATTTGGAATTGAAAGAAAACTTGAAAAAGAATCCGAAACTAAAGGAATCGAGATATGAGGTCATGTGGGCTACTTGCTTCAGAGATTCTATGTTATGTGGTTTGTATGTGGTGTTGGAGAGTTTAGTGGTTATTCTGTCACATTCCGTTTAAAATATTCTTTACCATTTTTATTCATAAAAATGGAATCTTAGAATATTATATAGTTGTAACTCGAATTTGGCTTTTTGGAGAGATATTAAAGAAACCAATTAAAAATGAAAACCAGCTGTCAAATCTCAATAGAAGAGAATCTATACAAAACCAAGAGAATCTATACAAAAGTGGTACCATTAAAAGTGGGACCACTGTACAAATATAAAATTAAATTAATCAAATTCAAAAGTGGTCCCATTAAATTTTTTGAAATATCTATTAATCTATGAAATTAATTAATTTTTAAATAAAATTGAACAAAAATTTAATTAAAATAATCAATTATACATTAATTTATTGTATAAAATATTAAATAATAAATAATCATTGTCATTGCGAACTCATCAAAAATATTTTATCTCAATCATCATTGCTACATATGCAAAATTGGAGGAGAAACATCAAAATCTCAAATGATGTAAAATTTAGGGACCAAAAGGTTTTTAAAATGAATGGACTAAAAGTTGAAAAATATCAAAATATGGGGATCAAAAGTGCATTTAAACCTATAAAATAATATTTGAGCATTTCTTATTGCATCTCATGTCTTTCTTTTCCACTGCGTGAATTTACACATATGCCACGTGATTCATGAGATATATCTTCGGACGCACCAAATTTCAATTAAACGTTAAACTATTCTGTAGATATATCTCTGGACGCACCAAAACTTAATTGAACGTTAAAATATTCCGGAGATATATCTCCGGAACGTTTAGGAGCATATTAACGCGCCAGACTTTTCTTCTCCTCCCTCACTTTTCATTTTCATTCACAAACTCTTCCACTCTCTCATTCTCAAATTTCTCCAAGTTCACCAAATTTGATTTCATTCGTCCGAGACTCAAGTATCATCAATCAGCATCCAGTTCATCATTCAACATCTTCTAAATCATAAATTTTGAGAGTTTTTTGAGTTTTCGATAAATATTCGAGTTTTATTGTAAACGAGTTAGAATTTATTGTTAGGTGTATAAATGATTATAAATCACCTGAAACATAGTTTATAGTAAGTGTATGTATTGTTTGTTGGCTCAAATGGACGATCATGACTTTAAATTTCACATTCTGAAGGCCAGAGGACGCCATTGTTGCGACCTCTGAGTATTAGAAAATTTCGGAGATACATCTCTGAAAAAATTCAACATTTCTGTACTCTATAGGATTCCGGAGATACATTTGCAGAATGTTTCCTTAAATATATCTCTGGATTTTCCTAAGTCTGTTTTTTATTCTTTTTAGTTTATAATTTTCTTGTTTGCGCTATTCATTTGCGTAAACTCATCGTACGACTAATTATACCTTGCATGCATAATGAATGACAAAATCGACCGACTGAGGCATTGACAGATTTCCCAGCACACATTCGTTCAGAGGGAGTGCAGGCAGCCAGTTTTGGAGGCAGCAAGTACCTCTAGTCAAAGAGAGGCGTCGACTGCTGGGGCACAATCTACTCTTGGGGCTCATCCTTCACCTCATGTCACTCCATCTCCACCTTGTATTTCTTCTTCCTGTAGATCACGGGATGCACATGCTGATGCGTCACTTCCACTGTCCTCCCGCATGCATCAAGATGCACCAGTGTGACATGTAACACCCCCTTTCTATACCCCCAAATAATCAATTAAAATCATATAAGTAACTAATAAAAGTTTCATCAGAGTATAAATTAAAACATGATATAAAAGAGGTGCATCACATTATCATCGAAACGAAACATAAATAATACCTGCTCATAAAGATATGTAACAAAAGGGGTAAATCTCAACTAAAAACAAAGCATAGCGCTTAAAATCCACATATCAACATTTAGAATAAAGCGGAAACATCTAAACATTGAAATCACTTCATTAACATAAGCATCATATACATCATTCAGATTAATTCAATTCATCAGTTGAGTTTACAAAACATTCAGCAGCAGATACATACACAGATGTATCACAAAAGAATCAAAACAATTCCTAACTACCCAGCGTTACATATCAGAGTCATCTGACCAAAAGAAATGAAGACTCGCTTCACAAAAGACCTCCAGCATCCTACTCTACAATGCCTCATAGAGCATTATAAAACAGCAGACGGGTGAGAAACATTATCATAACAAACAATGCATAAAATTATATATATCACAAAACACAATTATAACATACACGCAATTCACATTTCTCACCACAACTTGTCACAATACATAACAATGTACACGTACATAATCAATCACATTCACCAATTCATGCTTCACAATTCATAGCATTTCACATAAACAATTACAATTATGTTCAATTCACTCAAACATCATATAAGATGATAATGCAACTCATAGAGACCGACTCACAACTCTATGCATATGCAAATGCGGTACCGACTTGTTCAGCAGGTTCAATTGAAGAACCAAAATGGAACAATCGCTCGTTACCGAAGTAACTCCCCGTCGGGCCTACGATGTTCACCCATCGCTCACACCCCACATGGGCACACGATGTTTCAGGATTACTCACACCCCACACGGGCACACAATCCGGTTGCTCACACCCCACAGGGGCACACAACTGTTCTGCAGATTCTCCACGGAATCAAAAATAAACCATCGCTCACACCCCACAAGGGCACACGATCGTTTCTACAGATCCTACGCGGGATCAAAGTAACTAAACCATCGCTCACACCCCACAAGGGCACACGAGGTCTCTGCAGATCCTACGCGGGATCAGACACACAAGAATGCAATCATGATGCTACACATGCAACACGACTCAATACACTCTTAGAATCCACACATGTTTACAAACATATTCATGCATTCTTCATATTATACAAGTATATACAAATATACGCATTCACATTAATATCACCATGCATTCCCATTTAATCCAAACAAATGCACGAAATTGCCAAACGACCACATCACACAATCTAGGATTCACGCCATACGGCTACTCACAGCACAATATAACTCGGCATGATCGATGCCTCGAGCAAGGAAATAATCAAAGTTAAGTCGGAAATCCGACCACGGATGGAAACATTAAAGAAAGCACAACCTGTCATGTTTGCTACCCTGCTCGCTTAGCGAGCTCCTAGCGAGTATTCGCTACTTGTTCGCCTAGCGGACAAGCTCGCGAAGGCAAACAGAAGCCTCTGACTTCGTTCGCTCAGCGAACCCCTAGCAAACCTTCGCTACCCCCATTCGCTACCAGCGAACACCACAACATGCATTTTGTCCAAGTCTGGGATCGTTCGCTACCTATTCGCTACTGCTCGCTTAGCGAACATCCGTGACCAGCTCGCCTAGCGAACGTGCTAGCGAGTGTCTACGAACTCAGAATTTCCCCATTGTTCTTCCACTCAAAAACTCTTGGATTCACCCGATTAAGTCCTAACTCATTCCAGCACTTTAGCCTAACATCACCCGACATAAATGCTACTACTTAATCTCACTTTCACCAACGAAAACTCGGGTTCTATCGATTAAATCCGTATTATGCCCTAGAATGAAAAATGAGTAAAACTCTCCCCTATTCAAAACAAAACCAACAAGAACACACATAATCATACACATTGCAAAAATAATAAAGTTTCACACCCTTACCCGATCAATCGAAAGCTTAGAAGTTGATTCTTGATGATTCTAGGTTTTTCTCCTTTTCCTTTCTCTTTTCTCTTCTCTTCCTTTCTTTCTCTTCTTTTTCTTTCCTTTTGGTTTCTATTCTCCCTATTCTTTCTCTTTTCCACTTATACTCTTTCTATTCTATTTCTCTCAAAATACTACTAATCAAGGATTATCTAAAACACCCTCTAATTAATTCCCAAAACTCTCCAAATAATAAAATACCACAACATACACACATAACATATTATCATATAATTTCACAATAAAATAACAATTAACCAAATAAATTAAAAGACTCAACAAAATAATGGGAAATTCAGAATCGGGGCGTTACATGACCTCTTGCTGATGATCA